CCAATCTCCAGCCCGCACACTGACTGACAGCATAGCCGGTAAACAGAGCTCAGCTGTTTATTTAGCCTAGCAATATCTCCGGACTATAGTAGCTGCAATGGACGACTTTGAACGCGATTTTGAAGAGTTTCTTGTAGCGGACACAGACCCAGAGCCATACCTGTTTGAGCCGGAGCACACAGATGAGGAACTCCATGTGTTTGATGCTGAGCGGGCGAGAACAGAGGCTGAATGCACAGAATGGGATTCGGTGCTACTGCTGCTATTGTTGGGGAGATATATCATCAGGAGGAAAAGCGCCGCAGAGAGTGCATCACAAGGAGTGAAGCTGCGTCTTCTTTTCCTCACAGATGAGGGTTCGGGTTCATTCTCTCCTGTTGCGTGGTAAGTGTGGTCCATTCACAAACTTTATAACTAAAAAAACTTTTCACTACTCTCTATCGACGAACTACTACCACTCTCTGCTGTTTCCTCCTCCTTCTTCCTTCCTTCCGCTGTCTTCTTGGTTTATTTATACACGCGAAACGCGTTCTCTGGCGGGCTGGATTGTCCGCTCGAGCTGCCGTACATACATGGCGGCGCAAGATGGCGACCTCTCTAAAGCAAGGCCCTTGCGATATATATATATATAAAAGCGTAATTATAAGGCTACGAAAACCAAACAAATTTTATTTTATAGCGATTATACACTTATATAAACATATTAATGGGTAGAATATTCAGATTCAGATTCAGATTTTATAATAAACCATGCCAAATATTACACACTGGCCCTTTAAAAACATACTACTGCGTGTGTAGCCATGTGACTCTGTCCCGTCCAGTCCGCAACCTGGAAGCAACACTGAGCCACCTGAGCAACTTGAGCAGCTTGTACCAAAGAGAAATGGTGTGTCCGTCGTTTGGACACATTTTTGCTTTCATGAAGACGACACCAAACAGAAAGAAATCAAATGTAAAAACTGAGGAAAAACTGTTTGAGTGACCAAAGGTGACACCACCGATCTGTTTCAGCAGGAGCACAGTCACGTTACCGAATATGAGCAGCGCACGACTCAAAAAAAAAGAGACTGACAAGCCCCTCCACGCAGCAGCTCTCGATAATACAAGCATTTACAAAGTCTACACAATATTCAAAATATTAAATAACCATAAACAGTTCATCTGTGTGTTTTCTTCAATTATTTTAAAATCACAAAGATAAAATATATTCTCTTTTATTAGAATAAAGCTTTAATAGTTGAGCATATTTACAGTACAAACCTTGTCAGTGAACTATTAGGGGAAAAACAAAATAATTGTTTGGTAATCATTATCGAGGTAAAATGTTCAATTATTCGTGATGTTAATTTAAAGTCGTATTGCCCAGCCCTACTTTACACTCCCCTACATTTATCTGAAGGCTGGAGAAAGAAATTAGAGATGCACCGTTTTAACTGTACACAGCTAATTTAAAGGTTAAATCTGAAAAATATTTAATAATCAGATCATAAATAATCAGGTAGTTGTAATGATATACAGTACGTTACTATACGATACAATACCACATGATGAGATAAGATTAAAACACAATGCAATATTATTCGATACGATGCAATGAGATGCTAAGCGATATGGTATAATAAGATAAAGTAAGATAAGATAGAATAAGATAAGCCATGATGCGATGCTATAGAGACAGAGCACAACATGTCATAATCTGAAAGCCATGCCCCCAAAGGGGAAACGAGGCCCACTTTCCCCTCACACTTTCCCCCTGTTTCCAGCTTGCTGAGTTTTCCCAAAGTCCAAATACTGAAACGTTGCTGTGTGGTGGGCTGCAAAAACCCAGAGCTTAGCTTTAATTAGCTGCCGAGCAGAAAAATGGAACCTTGTAGAAGACAAGGCAGGCAATAAAACGTGAGGCAAGGAACTGTGGGATCCTGACACTCGGTATGCCTATGTGTGCAGCAAACACTTTGTCAGACCCTCCAGAAGTATTTGTTAGAGTAACAATTAACTGTATTTATGTACGTTAAGCTAAAGCATTGACAGTGTGAATGCAACTTCTGTTATAATTGTGCCCAGCGCTCCACAATTCAAGCAGTCCATTCCAGCGGTCCGCTCTAGCACTTCTGTCAGTCTACCAGCATGTAGAGGCATGTCTCAAAACAACATCGAGTGCTGGTAGTAGGAGCAGGCTGACAGCTGAGCATGCCCAAGTGCTCATCTTCTTAAAAAAGAATCTCCACATCATGTTTTCTCCAAGATGAGCAAGGTAAGGAGAAGGGACACTGAGGTAGACTGGCAACATTAAGCTTATCAATGTACCGTTGCCTCTCTGGTAGGCATAGTGTGCTAAAATAATCCTTTGCCATCTTATTATTAGCTAATTATTAGCTAGCTATAGCTAATAAGTTTAGCTAGCTAGCAATTCAGTCATGGAGACTTGAAGGTGCAGCTGTGGAGGCAGAATGACAGCAAACGAGCGAAGAAGCGGAGGGGAAAGCGGGCCTCGTTTCCCTTTTGGGGGCGTGGCTTTCGGAATATGACGCGTTGCACTCTGTCAGAAGGAATTCTAACCAAGAGAAGTTTCAGCTGGTTGCAATCTGCAGTCCTCACCACTAGATGTCACTAAACCCCCTAAATCTGACACACCAGACCTTTAAGAAGTATAAACATTTTCTCAACACACAATGGAACTCTTCATCCTTCAGTTTAACACAAACATTAACATCAGCACATCTGGAGATACGTGGTTTTCACTGGACAGGGACTGGATGAAGAAGTGAGAAGTAACTAAAGTACAAAAAGTACCTTAAATTTGTACTTAAGGACAGAACTAGAGGTACGTCTCTACAAACACATGATGATATTTAGCTTTATATTTTGAAGTCTCCTTCAGGTCAAATAACATAAACATGGATGTTGTGTAGATACAAAGAGGTCTGTCTGTCTGTCTGTCTGTCTGTCTGTCCTGACAATACCTCCTCTGTTCACACAGCAGGAGAGAAGAGAAGGATGGGACTTCACATAATGGTCCATCAGATAAATGAGAGAGAGACCTCAGACAAAAAGAAAGACTCAGACGTCTCCATTCTTATACCCTTATCTACACACACACACACACACACACGCACACAGGTACAGTTTCAGTATAATTACTGTGTGTTATCAGACTGAGGGAACACACTGTCTGGACTACATACATTAATATACCGCTCCATGTGTGTGTGTGAGACTCAAGATTCCTTTCCACCAAGAGGTAAAACGAGACAAAAGTGTGTGTGTGTGTGTGTGTGTGTGTGTCTCACAGTGACTGCAGGTTGTGCAGGTTGTTGAAGGCCTCAGCAGGTACAGACATCAGCTGGTTGTTCTGAAGCATCCTGAGTACAGAGAGCAAAACAACACGATGAGGACTTAAAGGAACAGTTCAACATTTTCCAGAGGGTCAGAGGTCACTACTGGTAGCATGAGGAGGCACCTGCAGCCCAGTCAGGTTGATACCAGACACCAGGAGACCGGCCGTTACACCAGGAGAGCTGGACCTGGCCATAGAAGGGCATCAACCCAGCAGCAGGACCGCTATCTGCTCCTTTGTGTGAGGAGGAACAGGAGGAGCACTGCCAGAGCCCTACAACATGACCTCCAGCAGGCTACTGGTGTGCATGTTTCTGACCACACTGTTAGAAACAGACTGCATGAGGGTGGCATGAGGGCCCCACGTCCTCTAGTGGGACCTCCATGTCATAGCCAACGGTACCCTGACTGCTGTTAGGCACCAGTGCATCCGACGTTGCCAAGTACCACCACAGACTGTCCAGGAGCTCACTGATGCCCTGATCCAGGTCTGGAAGGAGATCCCCCAGGACACCGTCCTCAATTTTTTACTCTGATTGTCGGTGTGATTTTGAATCCAGCCCTCAGTGGGTCGATGGTTTTGGTTTCTACTCACTGTTGTTATGTCATTTTGATCTCAACAAATTAAACAAGGGACAAAAATAAAGTCGTAGCTGAATTATAAAGAGGTTGGAGCAGAATGTATAGTAGTAGAAGTTTTATGAGTCAGAACTGGAGTAACAGTAGTTTTGCGTGTATTCAAACAAAGTAATATGACGACAATAAGTGACTCAGAGTGCGAACACATGGATGAATGAAGGCCAACAGGAAACAGTAGATATGAGTAAACATGAGGAATGTAAACAGTGAACAGAAAGTGTTCATTAAACTCAAACACTCACACTTCAAAGTGTCTCTGTGAATCATTAGCACCAGTAAACCTACCACACATTATTACAGTCCGTGCATGTGTGTGTGTGTGTGTGTGTGTGTGTGTGTGTGTGTGTACACTCACAGCACTTTGAGGTTGTAGAGGCCGGTGAACGCTCCTCTGGGGATGAATGACAGATCGTTTCCCGCCAAGCGCCTGAGACACAGAGAGAGAGGAATGAAGCTCAGAGTTTTTGCAGATGCCGTGACTCCTAACTGTGACTTGTTCAAAGGCTGATGTGCAGGAATGTGTTTTGTTGTGGTTTATTAAACAAACAACTGAATAACTAAAGCAAATGAATGATGCAATATTACAGTCAGCTGAAAATATCAGAGCCAAAACCTCACCCTCTTTGTCTAAGAAGTCACCACGCCAGTGAGTGAACAGGTGAAATACAGTGAAACCTCACCTGGGCCAATTACAACTACCGGAAGTGAAATTGACCACAGGAACGTGTGCAGCCCAAAAAAATAATAAACAGAAGTTTAATACACATTTTACAGCAGACATCCACCATCTCTGAGCAGAGGCGGGAAGTAACTAAGCACATTTACTCGAGTAGGTACTGCACTTGAGAATAATTCTGAGGTACTTGTGCTTTACTTGAGTATTTCCACTTTCTGCTACTTTATACTTCTACTCCACAACATTTTAGAGGGTTACTTTACAGATTCAGATTACTAATACATAATAAATAAACTTAAACACTGGACCATTAGGACACTGGACCTTTAGGATACTGGATCTTTAAACACTGGACCTTTAAACACTGGACCATTAGGACACTGGACCTTTAAACACTGGACCATTAGGATACTGGATCTTTAAACACTGGACCTTTAAACACTGGACCATTAGGACACTGGACCATTAAACACTGGACCATTAGGATACTGGATCTTTAAACACTGGACCATTAAACACTGGACCTTTAAACACTGGACCATTAGGACACTGGACCTTTAAACACTGGACCATTAGGATACTGGATCTTTAAACACTGGACCTTTAAACACTGGACCATTAGGACACTGGACCATTAAACACTGGACCATTAGGATACTGGATCTTTAAACACTGGACCATTAAACACTGGACCATTAAACACTGGACCATTAGGACACTGGACCTTTAAACACTGGACCATTAGGATACTGGATCTTTAAACACTGGACCTTTAAACACTGGACCTTTAAACACTGGACCATTAGGACACTGGACCTTTAAACACTGGACCATTAGGATACTGGATCTTTAAACACTGGACCTTTAAACACTGGACCATTAGGACACTGGACCTTTAAACACTGGACCATTAGGATACTGGATCTTTAAACACTGGACCTTTAAACACTGGACCATTAGGACACTGGACCATTAAACACTGGACCATTAGGATACTGGATCTTTAAACACTGGACCATTAAACACTGGACCTTTAAACACTGGACCATTAGGACACTGGACCTTTAAACACTGGACCATTAGGATACTGGATCTTTAAACACTGGACCTTTAAACACTGGACCATTAGGACACTGGACCATTAAACACTGGACCATTAGGATACTGGATCTTTAAACACTGGACCATTAAACACTGGACCATTAAACACTGGACCATTAGGACACTGGACCTTTAAACACTGGACCATTAGGATACTGGATCTTTAAACACTGGACCTTTAAACACTGGACCTTTAAACACTGGACCATTAGGACACTGGACCTTTAAACACTGGACCATTAGGATACTGGATCTTTAAACACTGGACCTTTAAACACTGGACCATTAGGACACTGGACCTTTAAACACTGGACCATTAGGATACTGGATCTTTAAACACTGGACCTTTAAACACTGGACCATTAGGACACTGGACCATTAAACACTGGACCATTAGGATACTGGATCTTTAAACACTGGACCATTAAACACTGGACCTTTAAACACTGGACCATTAGGACACTGGACCTTTAAACACTGGACCATTAGGATACTGGATCTTTAAACACTGGACCTTTAAACACTGGACCATTAGGACACTGGACCATTAAACACTGGACCATTAGGATACTGGATCTTTAAACACTGGACCATTAAACACTGGACCATTAAACACTGGACCATTAGGACACTGGACCTTTAAACACTGGACCATTAGGATACTGGATCTTTAAACACTGGACCTTTAAACACTGGACCTTTAAACACTGGACCATTAGGACACTGGACCTTTAAACACTGGACCATTAGGATACTGGATCTTTAAACACTGGACCTTTAAACACTGGACCATTAGGACACTGGACCTTTAAACACTGGACCATTAGGATACTGGATCTTTAAACACTGGACCTTTAAACACTGGACCATTAGGACACTGGACCATTAAACACTGGACCATTAGGATACTGGATCTTTAAACACTGGACCATTAAACACTGGACCTTTAAACACTGGACCATTAGGACACTGGACCTTTAAACACTGGACCATTAGGATACTGGATCTTTAAACACTGGACCTTTAAACACTGGACCATTAGGACACTGGACCATTAAACACTGGACCATTAGGATACTGGATCTTTAAACACTGGACCATTAAACACTGGACCATTAAACACTGGACCATTAGGACACTGGACCTTTAAACACTGGACCATTAGGATACTGGATCTTTAAACACTGGACCTTTAAACACTGGACCTTTAAACACTGGACCATTAGGACACTGGACCTTTAAACACTGGACCATTAGGATACTGGATCTTTAAACACTGGACCTTTAAACACTGGACCATTAGGACACTGGACCTTTAAACACTGGACCATTAGGATACTGGATCTTTAAACACTGGACCTTTAAACACTGGACCATTAGGACACTGGACCATTAAACACTGGACCATTAGGATACTGGATCTTTAAACACTGGACCATTAAACACTGGACCTTTAAACACTGGACCATTAGGACACTGGACCTTTAAACACTGGACCATTAGGATACTGGATCTTTAAACACTGGACCTTTAAACACTGGACCATTAGGACACTGGACCATTAAACACTGGACCATTAGGATACTGGATCTTTAAACACTGGACCATTAAACACTGGACCATTAAACACTGGACCATTAGGACACTGGACCTTTAAACACTGGACCATTAGGATACTGGATCTTTAAACACTGGACCTTTAAACACTGGACCTTTAAACACTGGACCATTAGGACACTGGACCTTTAAACACTGGACCATTAGGATACTGGATCTTTAAACACTGGACCTTTAAACACTGGACCATTAGGACACTGGACCTTTAAACACTGGACCATTAGGATACTGGATCTTTAAACACTGGACCTTTAAACACTGGACCATTAGGACACTGGACCATTAAACACTGGACCATTAGGATACTGGATCTTTAAACACTGGACCATTAAACACTGGACCTTTAAACACTGGACCATTAGGACACTGGACCTTTAAACACTGGACCATTAGGATACTGGATCTTTAAACACTGGACCTTTAAACACTGGACCATTAGGACACTGGACCATTAAACACTGGACCATTAGGATACTGGATCTTTAAACACTGGACCATTAAACACTGGACCATTAAACACTGGACCATTAGGACACTGGACCTTTAAACACTGGACCATTAGGATACTGGATCTTTAAACACTGGACCTTTAAACACTGGACCTTTAAACACTGGACCATTAGGACACTGGACCTTTAAACACTGGACCATTAGGATACTGGATCTTTAAACACTGGACCTTTAAACACTGGACCATTAGGACACTGGACCTTTAAACACTGGACCATTAGGATACTGGATCTTTAAACACTGGACCTTTAAACACTGGACCATTAGGACACTGGACCATTAAACACTGGACCATTAGGATACTGGATCTTTAAACACTGGACCATTAAACACTGGACCTTTAAACACTGGACCATTAGGACACTGGACCTTTAAACACTGGACCATTAGGATACTGGATCTTTAAACACTGGACCTTTAAACACTGGACCATTAGGACACTGGACCATTAAACACTGGACCATTAGGATACTGGATCTTTAAACACTGGACCATTAAACACTGGACCATTAAACACTGGACCATTAGGACACTGGACCTTTAAACACTGGACCATTAGGATACTGGATCTTTAAACACTGGACCTTTAAACACTGGACCTTTAAACACTGGACCATTAGGACACTGGACCATTAAACACTGGACCATTAGGATACTGGATCTTTAAACACTGGACCATTAAACACTGGACCATTAAACACTGGACCATTAGGACACTGGACCTTTAAACACTGGACCATTAGGATACTGGATCTTTAAACACTGGACCTTTAAACACTGGACCTTTAAACACTGGACCATTAGGACACTGGACCTTTAAACACTGGACCATTAGGATACTGGATCTTTAAACACTGGACCTTTAAACACTGGACCATTAAACACTGGACCATTAAACACTGGACCATTAGGATACTGGATCTTTAAACACTGGACCATTAAACACTGGACCATTAGGACACTGGACCTTTAGGATACTGGATCTTTAAACACTGGACCATCAGGACGTTGGACCTTTAAACACTGGACCATTCGGACGCTGGACCTTTAAACACTGGACCTTTAAACACTGGACCTTTAGGATACTGGATCTTTAAACACTGGACCATTAGGACACTGGACCTTTAGGATACTGGATCTTTAAACACTGGACCTTGAGGACACTGGACCTTTAAACACTGGACCTTTAGGACACTGGACCTTTAAACACTGGACCTTTAGGACACTGGACCTTGAGGTCACTGGACATTTAGGACACTGGACCTTGAGGTCACTGGACATTTAGGACACTGGACCTTGAGGACACTGGACCATTAGAACCAGTATGACACACTGGGCTGTGCTGGGTTCTGCTGTTTGTCTTCAGAGGCCATGCAGAGTTCAGCCAGTCCGCATGTACCCAGCATGCACCTCTGCGGTGTCCTATCGCCGTAGTGACGTTTCTCACGCCACGGTGACAAATATCACACACACACAGACACACACATTTAAAAACACACACACACACACACACACTCACACAGCTGGCAGCGGAGCAGAACAGCAGTCAGAGTCATGTTCAGGTCTCTGTGAGGTCAGCTGTTTACAGGCTTTGCCTCCCATCTCTCTCTGGATCTGTGTCTGTCTGTCTCTCCCTACGTGTCTGTCTGTCTCTACGTGCCTGTCTGTCTGTCTGTGTGCAGATACCAATGTTATCAAAGTGTTCACACACGACATGACACTGCTACTAGGTGAGCAGAGATGGGATTACATATCGTATCCTCGCAGATATCTGAGCTGGTCGCCCGCTCAGACACCCTCACCGAGTCACTACCCAGAGTTCATAGAGATGTCTGAGGATTTAAACACACTGATGTATCAACAGCTGCAGTCCGACGCAACATGTGCAGACGAGCACCCGTCAATCACTCCGCTTCATGAATCCAAATGTCCACCCTCGGGACTCCTGCAGACTGCAGTCGCACATGGAGGATGAAAGACACTCTGGGTCCTGCACATCCAGACCTTAATCCACACACTCAGTAGTGTTTACATGACATCAGAGAAAATGGATTTATTGTGTCAGTCCGACTTAAACCGGACTTTCAAAATACATGTAAACATGTTAGTCCAACTTAAACCGGACTTTTAAAATACACTTAAACATGTTAGTGCGACTTAAACCGGACTTTCAAAATACACGTAAACATGTTAGTCCGACTTAAACCGGACTTTTAAAATACATGTAAACATGTTAGTGCGACTTAAACCGGACTTTTAAAAGACATGTAAACATGTTAGTGCGACTTAAACCGGACTTTTAAAATACATGTAAACATGTTAGTCCGACTTAAACCGGACTTTTAAAAGACATGTAAACATGTTAGTGCGACTTAAACCGGACTTTTAAAATACATGTAAACATGTTAGT